GGCGTGCGTGTGGTGCTGTACCGCGGCGTGTGGTGCTGTACCGCGGCGTGTGGTGCTGTACCGCGGCGTGCGTGGCTGTATCGCGGCGTGCGTGGCTGTACCGCGGCGTGCGTGTGGTGCTGTACCGCGGCGTGCGGTGCTGTACCGCGGCGTGCGGTGCTGTACCGCGGCGTGCGTGGCTGTATCGCGGCGTGCGTGGCTGTACCGCGGCGTGCGTGTGGTGCTGTACCGCGGCGTGCGGTGCTGTACCGCGGCGTGCGGCGTTGTACCGCGGCGTGCGTGTGGTGCTGTACCGCGGCGTGCGGTGCTGTACCGCGGCGTGCGTGGCTGTACCGCGGCGTGCGTGGCTGTACCGCGGCGTGCGTGTGGTGCTGTACCGCGGCGTGCGTGGCTGTACCACGACGTGCGTGGCTGTACCGCGGCGTGCGTGTGGTGCTGTACCGCGGCGTGCGGTGCTGTACCGCGGCGCGCGTGGCTGTACCGCGGCGTGCGTGGCTGTACCGCGGCTTGCGGTGGGCTGTACTGCGGCGTGCGGGGCGGGCTGTGTGGCAGGAGAGCACATGCACAAACCTGGAGGTGGCCGTCTACCAATGCAAAACCGACTCACTTGTCGATGGCAGCAACAGAGTTATGAACTATATCCGTTTTTACTGCACTAGCTAAAAAAAGTACCGACACAAATTTACTAAACGTTCACCTGCACCCTGCAGCCTGGGACGGCTGCAAGCGTGCACGATTGTGTGCCACCATTACAAGGCAATATATCAGTAATACGCGTGCGTCAATTAGAAAGACGCTTGAGAGATACCGGCCATCTACTTTTCCTCCTGCTTCATACAACCGATGCGCTCCTCCCAATCTGCACAAGGGCCGACTGACTGCTCAGTCAGTTCGCAGACAGATGCAGTAGTTTTTGTACACGCGAGCTCTGTTTGTAGTGCGGGCAATCAAATATACACCCAATAAGCAAAACTAACATTTCGCGTTTTCCAAATTTCTCAGAGGCCAAGGTTGCGAATAAAACGCATATGGGGATGATTTCTAATATCCTGTGGCATGTGTTATGACTGACTGATGTCTATTAGTACTCAGAACCTAATAACGCCGAACTCCATAGTATGTTAGGCGGCACATCGCGACGCTGACGCCATGACGTCATTAGTCACGCTATTAGAAAAAGAATGTTCTGCAAATTATTATTGGCAGAAGAAAAAATGATATGCTAACTACTGTCATCCTACTGTAATAACATCATGGCTACGGCTGACGGCGACGGCCTTTTACTACACTTTGCAATGCAGGATAGTGAATACTGTCATGTTGCATTCATGCCCATTTATCATAGACAAGATGTAAGATGTTGTTCGTCTGTTTTTAAAATTGGGTGTAATGCGTTTCCTTCCTTAAAAAGTAATAATATCCTCGAGATATATACTGAGGCTATGCCTTATTTTGGCCTCGTTTCAACTGACATCTGTTTTTAGATCATAACGTGAAAATGGCTGTAAAGGGAAGAGAATGATGTATCCGATGCATTGAGCAAAACCAGACTACAAGTACAATGATGCATTAGAGAGTTGATTTGCAAGTCAATGTGAATGGTAGTTACCAAGGAAAACCGATCTCCAATTAAAAGAATATAAAGTAGTTCATGTAATATAAACATTTTCAAAAGTTTAACAGCTGAAAAAAGTAACCACAAGAATGAATACGTAAAGCCCCCCCCCCCCCAAACTCGAGCCATGCCTGTCTGCTCTGTAGCAAAGTATAGGAGAAGGTCGTAGCCGCGATCATGCAGGGCTATAAGAGTACCTATATACGCGTACACTGTCGTTTATAGTCAAGTAAAACACTTGTGTGACCGCTCCAACGTCCATGAGGCTGCTCATCAAGCAACAGACGTACAAGCTACATAATATAAGGCTGGACCCTAAACTTCCCTCATGATAATAGATCGAAATAAACAGACACTATATATACGCTGATACTATTGTGATACGAAAAAAACCAGCTGATTGGCTAGAAACGTAAATGTTATTCTGAGTACTGCCTGTGTTATTACGTTCCGCGAAAAAATGGACCGTTTTAAAATAGAACCTCTCGAAATCGACAGTACGTTCTATGCATTTTCACTCCCCTTGCTATTACAATCACCAAGCAAAGTTAGTAATACTTTAGTCTGTAGTAGTAAAATTCCTACTGAGTGTGCTATAAGTGAGTGGACTGAAGCTAGTCTCGCCTGCCACCATGTCCGGCTGCATTCACCACTGACAGGGTTGCAGCCACAGCAAAGTCGCTGCAGCTGCCACCAAGTACGCTTCACATTTACTACACATTTCTACAACACTAGACATCGTTACCAATCAGCGGAGTTATATCTGCAGCTAATTAGGCGCCTGCCTGTGTGCTGCAACAAGCCTACATGCATCTGCCACATGTATACGAGCTAATCAACGACAGAGAAGCTCAGCTGTCAACGAGAGAACCACTGCGCGGGCTAGATGATCATTCTCATATGAGAACGAAATGCAACATTCACCTCAACGAATCTACAGCTAGTTAGCATTCACATTAGGATGTGAACTCAAGTTGTTTAAAAAAAAAAATTCACTATTGCAACTTTCGGTATATTGCATAAGTAGCAAGATGCTACGGACAATCCGTAATTACTACTGCCTCTTCAATTATTGGTTGTTTTATTAAGATATAATTCCTCAAGAGTGGCGGATAAGATCCTTTGAACAATCCCTCACCCCTTTATTTATTTTAATCACACATGTATTAGCAACATGCCACACAATAAATCCTCATAATAACGCTGACTGGAGAGCTTGTAATCTCTGTCCACCAACTACTCTGTGATCCTAGCTAAGTTGATTTTAATTAAAACTATAACACTTATTCCGTACTCAAATATTCATGAGCCGTGAATAGCGTCTACGACTTAGCGACTTACCTTTATTAGGTTAACGGCTATACTGGAACATGGTGAGACAACAGTCTTCAGACACCTATCGTGAACCACAAAGTTGCACACTGCAAAAGAAAACAAGAATGCTTTGGTGAGAAACATATCACAACCACACTGGCCTCGTTACTACATCAACCACGATATACACCTATGCATGTTGGGGCATCTTTCAAGTATAATTCTGCAAACGCACGCGCATACTCAAGCAGACTCCCGCACATGGACATAAACAAACAAACACACTGGCTTTAAGCGCTTTCCCTGTGGGTGGTCTGTGACACTTTTAGGCGAGAAGGCTCTCAAAAATCATTTGCAGCCGTCTGTAGACTAAGAAAATAAACAGGCGAATCACTTGTACTTCTTAAGCAATGTTCGTACAACTGCCTCTTCCACAGAGGCTGTCGTATTTGGGTGCTCCTAGTTTATATTCCCTACAGCCGAGATCGGTTTATTAGTATTATATACTGAATCACAACCATGCCAATGATACGCCAAATATAATATCAAACGTAATTGTTATTGCATTATATAAACATCCATGTTATTCTGGCAGCATACCATAGTAAAATTGCTTTTCCATATTCTGATAAGTTGGTGTTATAGAAAGAAAAATGAAACCAAAGTTATATGTACTGTTATTATATATATACAGTATTTCTTATAGCCAAAATTACAAAGCCTGGGGCCATGTGTAAGAATTTCTGTAATTTGTTTGCATTAAATGTTAATAAACAAAATAACTATATTTGAAACACACTGACAAAGAATTTATAAACACATCATAAGATTTTATTTGCTATTGTATCAATAGTTCATATAGCGTCATGATCTAAGGTAATAACTAATCAGGAGACTAAATGTATATATTGCTTTTAACATCTACCGCCGGTTTTAAAATTGATCCTTGCTATAGCTAGTTTAATTTCTCATTCTGGAGTATCCTTCACACACATGAAAATACCAGAATAACTATACAAACTTCAATATTGTAGCACACGTAAAATTTATAAAACAATCTTTCAACATTACATATATAAGCTATCTACATAATATGTAAATCTCGATCATAATAAATACTATCAATTCATAAAACCAGTGTGCACTCACGTTTGTGTAACCATTTGTTCTAGGGCTAATTAATATACACTCACACATGCACGCAAGTGTATGTCAAACAGTTTTGCATGTATATATTAT